TATGTTTCTCTACATCTTTTTATGCCCCTCATAGTTCCCTGTAGGTACTTTAGGCAGAATAGAACTTTGAAGGTATCATATTCAGGAAACAGTTTCTACTTATGCAACTAGATTAACAAAGCATTTATTTTAGCTTATTAATTAGGTATATTGGTACACTTTAGGAACAAATACTGACCAAACTCATCATGGGGAATTTGTACCTGTACATGATATAATTTCATAAAGCAGTTATTTTAGAAGGCCAGCTACATAGGAAAATGAATAATTCAGCATGTTCCTGGTCTCTCTTATCAACAGAATTCAACTGACTCATTCACTGTCCAATTTTCACAAGATCATTGAAGATTTCAAGTCTCAGGAGCAATTACTCCTTTTCTATGCACATCTGCTCCTGAAATTCTGGGCCCACATCTGATGCCAAGTCCTAGAATCGAGACTGAGCTAGAAAACGCACAGTAGGTACATTTCCCTGTGCACACCAGTCCTGTCTTCTTATTTGTCCACACTGGCACTATGACACAAAGCAATAAGAACACTGAAACAATCTTTTGTTTTCTTTTTTAGAAACATGTTATAACTTGTACCTTTCAGTAACATATTTTCAGTATTGCCAAATGTATTAAAATATGGAAATTGTCTGATCTACATATTGATTAAACAATATTACTATTACTTACTGATTCCCTTTCTAGGATTTATCTCAAGGGCCTTGTTCAGATTACAACAGCTAAACAGATCAGAATTTAAGTAATGCAACTGCTGATTGTGTAAGCCATACAATCTATTGGAAAGATCTGAAAAGATACAGTTAGGAATGCAGAGTTGTGTCCACATCTTAAGTAGGCATGTCCTATTATTTTTATTTGCTTGAAATACTAGCCAGACTCTTATTAGTAATGTACTAGAGGACAGTAAAGAAAGCAACAACAAACCATGCGCTCAGCATAGTGCTAAATATTTGATTTACATCATTTCATCTACGACTCCTCTAAAAGTGTACACACAATGTATTGAAATACTATGTATCGTAATTGAAATAAATGGTGAATGGTTAATATAAAAAATTTATTCTAGAAGACACATTGTCATTAATTCCCCTCAGAATACTCCCCTTCACTTCAAACTCACTTATCCCATCATTCTTGTCCCCTTCTGAAGCAGTTCTCGAACTCCTTTTTCATGAGTGTCTTTACAAGTTATGATTAAAAATATGGCACATGCTGTTTGCCAAGTGCTGTCCAACAGAAAGGAAGGCTTGTAAAAACATTCTACAGTACCCTCATCTACCTTAT